TTAAGATCTTTTCTTACCCATAAGAAAGAGTTTTATAGAAGCTAACACTAGATAGACGTTTTTTGTGTTTACTATAACTTGGCATAATGATATCCAAATTTATGGCTGTTCAGAAGTGTTTCTACGGCGTCTCTTTTATATATATAGAGAAGAAATAGTGTGATATTATTGTAACACTGAATGTCTGTGCTAACTCATCTTTTCACAAAAAAGACTATCAAGCATCATATTTTCATCATCACGTAGGGCTCATGGTAATATTCGAGCTTTCTCTGCACTAAACAGTTAAGGAACCCAGAGTCCTACAATTATGAAATCCTATCAGCAAGAGAAGACATTTGTTTTTTACTGGTGCAATAAAGTAGAAACGTTTTTAGAAAATGTAAACCATCATTCCCTGATTGATGCCTTTCGACACATCACATTACCATTGGCGTACCCGCTGCAGTGCATGGGGGGCGTTTCCCTTGGTGTGCATGCAAACTACCGCTCGAGCCTCGGGCCCACCGTGTCATCCGTATGCACGGGCTCATAAGCTTACATAGGCTAGAAAGAGTGGGAACTCACGTCTGTCTGGCACAAGAGGAAATCTAGGGAATAGCACACTGAGTCTCACTAGTCGGGAAAATTGCTGTCTCTACATAGCAATCTGCTTCTCTCAGTGCTGCATTATTAACGCCTGCCCGTCCATTTACGTAAGTGCAAGTAACAGGCGAGAGTACTTCACGCCTTCAGGCAGCACGAAACACTTTTAGGACATAATTGATAAGCCATAATGTGGAATTTTCGTGCACCCACCAAGTTTTGGTCTACAAGAGATGTTCTACAAAAGCTGAAGATGAATTAATAATAGCTCGGTGGGCCGAAGCGCTCTACGTTTCCGCTGTTCATATCAATTAAGATACGTGTTTATCTGTGGTTTCGATTCTCTACTGCATGTGGGACTGAAATATGCAGATTTACACGACAAACAAAACGTTTGCTGGTTTTACTAGTTCTTACCAAGAAGAATGAAGTGGGCCGGTCATAGCAAGAAAAGACGCAGTAGTGCGCGTTCTCGGAGCTCAAGACAAATGGTTGTGACCAAAAAAAAACGTTATCTACATGTGTTAAAAGAGGTAAACACACTTTGTTCATACACCACGAATTTGCATAGCAGAAAGAAGAGTTATCTGCTCGAGCATTAGTTTTATCAAACAGACAACTAAACAATGACCAAAATAGGCATGCGCATCTATCAGATTAGTTGTTGTTTGTTATTAAGCACAAAGCTACACAAATGGCTATCTGTGCTCTGCCCACCACGGGTATCGAAACCCGGTTTCTAGCGGTACAAATCCGCAGACATACTACTGGGGGTCTATCAGATTATAGAGCGATATATATATATATATATATATATATATTTGCAACCTAATATTAACCTTCAAATGCTATGCATTGGGTTTATTTGGTGTACCTATTAATACACACGATTCTTTAAAATAATTTAAAATATTATCCTGTTTTTTTGCGGAAACTTAAAAGTTTTCACTGGGTTATTTTACGTGAAATGTTCAGAAAAAATCGGGATTTTACTTTATGTAAGTCAACCATAACACATTGCAGCCAGTAAGCTGCTAATTGTTTGAGAATGAGAATTTTAACAATGAGGGCAACCACATCATTTGCCAACGAAGTACCCCATGAGCTTCATCATACTGGTTTGGTAAGATGTAGGTAAAGTGTTACGATACAAGCGCGTTAATACATCAGTTAGCTGGAAGTTGCCTTCTTAAGCAGTCCGTGAATGAAAGGAAAAGTGACCTGGAAGTCACATGGTGCTGGATCAGGAACATATACAGGATGGGGATGGCTATTTATCTGAATTTCTTAAGTGAATCGTTACCCAACAAGCAATAAAAACCTGCCATTAATAATGTTGGAAGGGAACCCTAAAAGGCCAGGTGGTTATGGAGCTCAACTGGCAATCTGAGGGTCGCGGGTTCGAATCCCCGTCATACCAAACATGCTCACCCTTTCAGCCGTGGGGGCGTTATAATGTGACGGTCATTCGTTTTACCACTATTCGTTGGTAAAAGAGTAGCCCAAGAGTTGGCGGTGGGTGGTGATGACTAGCTGCCTTCCCTCTAGTCTTACACTGCAAAATTAGGGACGGCTAGGGCAGATAGCCCTTGTGTAGCTTTGCGCGAAACTCAAAACAAACCAAACCAAACTAAAAGGCCAAACTGCGTCACAATTAACATTTTCAATTTTACCTTAGATGAAAAAAGAAATTGTAGCATACATACAGAATTATTGATATAATTATTGCTCTAGTGCAATTAAAATGATATTACATAAAAAAAGAAAATTCCATTCATTTCAAAACGTCTCACGTACTTCCAAATAAGTTTTATACTCTCGATAATATTGGCTTTGGCATGGCTGTGACAAGAATTTCTACTAGTAGTCTCGTACGTATGTTTACCTAGTCTATGAAATAATTATTTTTAGTTAATGTAAGATTCATCAATTTAGCTCCGAAATTCAAATAAAGACAAAATTTCGAAATTTTTAGGTCAAAATATCACCTTTATATGCAAATATACAGTTATTTAGTAATATATTTAAAAAAAAATAGTTTTGGTAGGAATAACTATATAAAAAAATAATAATTATGTATGGTTATACGCTGTATAATTTATTTTCATTTTATTCAATATATCAATATTTAAAACTTAAAATAATTGATCACATGAAAGTATATCCAACATCGTTCATTTTAAGTTTCGATTAAGTGATTATATCATACAGGTAAAAATATTCGAAGTGGAAAATCTACGTTATACACATAACTTATTACACACTTTGCGAAACTAATTTGAATAACAATATCTCGCTCTTTTTTTTTAACTGTTTTTTGCTTACTTTAAAGACGAAATATCTAGTATATTGATAAAATAACAACTTCGATTTAACCTAAAATGAACTAAGAATAAAAAAATGTCAAAAGTGAATATATGTTTCAACATCCTTTACTCCTCGTTATTGGTTTCTGTGTTGTTTTAGTCGAAAGAAAATATATTTCTAAATTATATAAGCTTTTAGGTTGATGAAAATGTTACAATGAAGACAAGTAAACATGTATAACATTTTATAAAATACAAGTCACCCAATAAAACTCACAATTTATTAAAAATCAAGCTGTGCATTACAGGAAGTCATTGGAAAATTATCTTGTTTGATAAACAAATCCTTCTCATTTCCAAGTGTTCTTCATTATTGGAAAGTCTCGTTTATCCTCAGCATTGAAAACCCTAATTTATCTTTAGTGTCCAAATCCTTATTCCATCCTTCATTAACAGTGTTCAAAACCTGATCCACGCCCACTGATAAGAAACTGTAATCTCTATTTAAAGTCCAAAATCGTATTCTATCCTTAGTATTAAAAACCTGATCTCGCTTCATTGTTCAAAATATTTCTCTAGACTCACAGTTGAAACCTTGTTCTGTGTCCAACAATAATAAAACCCTATTCCCTCTACAGTAATGAAAGTCCTGATCTAGACTCACAGTTGAAACCTTGTTCTGTGTCCAACAATAATAAAACCCTATTCCCTCTACAGTAATGAAAGTCCTGATCTAGACTCACAGTTGAAACCTTGTTCTGTGTCCAACAATAATAAAACCCTATTCCCTCTACATTAATGAAAGTCCTGATATAGACTCATAGTTGAAACCTTGTTCTGTGTCCAACAATAATAAAACCCTATTCCCTCTACAGTAATGAAAGTCCTGATCTAGACTCACAGTTGAAACCTTGTTCTGTGTCCAACAATAATAAAACCCTATTCCCTCTACATTAATGAAAGTCCTGATCTAGACTCACAGTTGAAACCTTGTTCTGTGTCCAACAATAATAAAACCCTATTCCCTCTACAGTAATGAAAGTCCTGATCTAGACTCATAGTTGAAACTTTGTTCTATGCTCAGTCATAAATCCTTATTTTCTTCTTAATAATGAAAACCTTGCTTTTTCCTTAGTAATGAAAACCCTGTTTCAGATTCACAGTTTAAACCTTGTTCTCTGTATTCAATGATAAAACCCTATTCTCTCCTTAGTAATGAAAACCATGTTTCAGATTCACAGTTTAAACCTTGTTCTCTGTATTCAGTGATAAAACCACTATTCTCTCCTTAGTAATGAAAACCCTGTTTCAGATTCACAGTTTAAACCTGGTTCTCTGTATTCAGTGATAAAACCCATATTCTCTCCTTAGTAATGAAAACCCTGTTTCAGATTCACAGTTTAAACCTTGTTCTCTGTATTCAATGATAAAAACCCTATTCTCTCCTTAGTAATGAAAACCCTGTTTCAGATTCACAGTTTAAACCTTGTTCTCTGCATTCAGTGATAAAACCCATATTCTCTCCTTAGTAATGAAAACCCTGTTTCAGATTCACAGTTTAAACCTTGTTCTCTGTATTCAGTGATAAAACCCCCATTCTCTCCTTAGTAATGAAAACCTTGTTTCAGTTTCACGCTTGAAACCTTCTTCAGTATTCAGTGATAAAACCCTGGTCTCTTCTCATTGTTTTAGTACTTAAAACCTCGTTCTCTCCATAGTAGGAAATAGAACCTTTTTATCATCAGTATTAAAATCATGCCCCTTTTATTTAATCTTTAAGATAAAGTTTCATGATGAATTTCTAGTTTATTTAGAAACTAAGGAATAAATTTCCAATATCCTTTAATCAGAGAAAATAGAGTCTTTGAGATACGACGTCAATAAAAACAGAAAAAAATAAGGTTTTACGAAGAATTATATTTAAAATTTTCCCTTTGAGAGTTGGACATTGAATCATAGTTATTTAGGGATATATTTTGACTTTATTTCACATTAAAAATTAATGTCTTTTCTTTATAATTTCAAGTGACGTCAAGATGCATATCAACATATTAATTATAGTAATTTTTCAACTAGTACAACTTAACACATGTTAATTTATTAGCATACTTAATTTGTTTTTGTTTCATCTTTTTCTTTCGTGATTGGTCTTCCCGAGCTTTACGGAACACCTAGCGTCAGGTAGACAATATTACCATCTAAATACCATAAAATCCAATAATCGTTATTCATAACTGATAAATAGTGTTCACCTTATATTCTCAAAAAATTGTAATAAGTTCATTCTTCTATAAGTTGCTACGTAAAACATTAACACGTATATTTTTAATGCCCAAAACGTTAATTGGTTTAGTTTAAAATAGATTCTCACATAACTATCTTCAATTCATCGTCTAATAAAAATTGCTCGTGTACATAGGTTTATAGAGAATGATTTAAAATACATTCAAATGCTTTTTTTGTCCAACTTTATATAGACGTTTTAAACATAATTAGATAAGACTTGTACATTGTTCGAAAGGTATGTTATCAAAAAATTACCAAAGATTAATATTCAACTAGTCTATGTTTAACTACAGCAAAAAGCACCTTATTAATCCGTTGATGCAAATAATTTTCGAAAACTAGTAATTTTTTAAAGGCGTTTCAGTGGTATAATTTATGGTTATAATGTACAATATTATACTTATTATTGTTCAATAAAACGGCTATTAGCCTATAAGGTTATTTCCTAAGATTCCATAAAGCAAATTTCTAACAGTTGATTTTTTTACGATCTTTGTGGAATAACAAAAAATAAATAAATAAAACGATCTACAATTACACTCAGCTGAACATGAAATATTTATTACCACCTTGCCCAGATAATCACATAGTGGGAAACGACAAAATGTATTAACTGGCTCTTTAATTACTACTATTTTACGTTTGCTTGGACACAACCGTTTCACAAGAAGCTGTAATTTACAGTAATATAGTGGATGGGACTAGCGACATACACCTTAACTGAAAAATCATAAAACAACGGGCTCAGTTCCATACACATTTTAATTTCGAATCGAAGACTTTGTTCTGCATGAGGACACAAAATATCTTATTATGTAATCGCATAGAGTGAATTGCGCCATGTTTGTTGACGTTATATGTTATCACAAAAACGAGGTAATACTATAGACAAGGAAATGACTGTATCACGTTTGATGATGTTATATATTGTTACAAAACGAGGCCATATTATACACAGCGAAGTGAGTCTACCGTTTGATGTTTGATGATGTTATATATTGTTACAAAAACGAGGCCATATTATACACAGCGAAGTGAGTCTACCGTCTTTGATGATGTTACATATTGTTACAAAAAGGAGGCCATATTATACACAGCGAAGTGAGTCTACCATGTTTGATGATGTTACATATTGTTACAAAACGAGGCCATATTATACACAGCGAAGTGACTCTACCGTCTTTGATGATGTTATATATTGTTACAAAACGAGGCCATATTATACACAGCGAAGTGACTCTGTGTTAATGAAAACGAGCCACAACACAATGAAGTTGAAATTACACGGTAATTACTCTGTAGCTGTTCCTAATTTTCAGTTGATAGATCGGAAGGTTTAGTTTATTTTGAATTTCGCGCAAAGCTACACGAGGGCTATCTGCGCTAGCCGTCCATAATTTAGAAGTGAAAGACTAGAGGGAAGGCAGCTAGTCATCACCACCCACCGCCAACTCTTGGGCTACTCTTTTACCAACGAATATACCAACCATTATAACGCCCCCACGGTTAAAATGGCGAGCATGTTTGGTGAGACGGGGATTGAAACCCGCGACCCTCAGATTGCGAGTCAAACGCCCCAACCACTAGACCATGCCGGGTCCCAGTACGATAAGGAAGTCCTCTAATAAACCATCCTTCTCTTAACACAAAACCACAAAGTCAGTTTTTTACCGCATTATTTTTTCCTAAAAGAGCTTACATCACTCCATTCGAGACAGTGTACTTTTACTGTATATAAGTATGTCGACATTTCAATCAGTAAAACGAGCCTTTGAAATGTTTCCATAATCTTGTCTTGACGTCATCAATGTGTTAAGTGTCTAAAGCGGACGTCACATATTATTTTAAGTCGTATCGTTATAATATCTTGTTTAGGGAACTGGCGTTAATTGTTTTATTAAATAATACCTTCCAGATATAGTAGGAAGCATAACAATTAAACTTTCTGTATTCTAGAGGTTATTTCACAAACAGCGTTCATTTTCTAACAGAAAACAAAAATTTTATATCAGGCGACAATTTACGTCATGGTGTGACTAGCGAACTGGAATTCACAAACCACAAGCACAGCTGTAAAAACGTTTAGAAGCCAAACTAGAGCTCCATTATTGAGCTGAATGAGGAAAATTACATATATTCCATGTTTATAATTTAGTGCTGAGGTTGTACGATGTGCTTAATTTTTACTTAGCGCCAGATTATTTAGTATAGTAATCATACGTACTCTCTATCTCTTAGGAACATAACGTAAAGTGGTCATTTTTTTACAAACTAAGAACTGCTTAAATGTACTCATTTTTCTTCCACTGACGTTGGAACAGTATATATATGGCTCACAAGTGTCGAGAATAGACGAGCATTGCGTGTTTGCCCGAGGAGAGCATGCTGCGTGACAGCCGCGTGGGACGTAGTCCGCCGTCAGCACCTGTCTTCACAGCCCGACGGGGAGCGGCCATAGGTCACGAGCCACGGGGCTTGACTTGAAAGGCACATTAACAAATCTTGATTTTCCACAGCTTTCTATTTTTTGACTTTTATGGGGTATTTCAGACAAGAAACGCTGTTCTAAACACATTGTTTGTCGAAGCAGTAGCCCCGCCTTCGTGTTTAGACTGCTAGTGTTCACTTGGGGTTAGATAAAACTGATAAATGTTATCGGCTAAACTTCTGCTGGAGTTAGGTATTAAAACTGGCTTCCTACAAAAGCGTTAACGATCCATTGTACGTTGAACAAACAATAAAACACTAAGACTTTCCATGTTTGGCGTGACCAGAAATAGAGTTCTCAATATAAAACACTGTGAATAATAAGAAAAACAAAGTCAACAAACAACCCATTATAATATACATAGATAAGTTGCATTTTCTTCCAAGTAATGTATTCATTGTAGTATTAATAACATTTTATGCCAAGTAATGTGTTCATTGTAGTATTAATAACATTTTATGCCAAGTAATGTGTTCATTGTAGTATTAATAACATTTTATGCCAAGTAATGTATTCATTGTAGTATTAATAACATTTTATGCCAAGTAATGTGTTCATTGTAGTATTAATAACATTTTATGCCAAGCTAGTGTATGTTTTGTCTATAAAGGATGTTACCTCGTATTGAGCTGTGTTGATAGTGCCAAGGAAGTCCATGTTATATTTCTAATTGAATGGATGTTTCTGTTTATAGTAATATATTTGTTGTTTGATGTTATTAGAAATGATTTATCTACTGTAAGGATGTACAGTGAATAGTTAAGTTTATCTTGTTTATTTACGTTAATAGATTTTTTCTGTTTATTGTGGTCATTAAGCTGATATATGTTTGGCTTTTGATTTTATTATTATTATTCATTTATCAGGATGTGACTTAGACGCAGAGCCAGTCATTTTAGGATGTATTTAATGCTTTTAGCAAGCAGCTTAATGTTTATACCCACTAAAAGCCTGAGTTAGTGTTAGTAAAGTTTGTGTGTTTGTCATGGTAGAAACGACGCATTGACATATTACCATAAACAGAAATATACATTCAAGTGTAAGTAGACAAGAAACAAACACTATACATATTACCATAAACACAAACATTCATTCAAGTAGAAGTATAACAACGACTGTCTCGCCACTACCAACACATTTCTATACAAGATAACATCCTTTACAGACACAACATACACTACACATATTACCATAAACCATATAACATTCCAACATCAGATATAGTAGAATCAAACCACAGAGACCTTACCACAAATAGCAATGTCCAATGTAACGTAAATAAACAAGAGGAACTCCACCAACACGTCCATATTCCTAACCACAATCATCATTCCTAGAACGAACCAACAACAGGGATTGTACCATACATCGAAGCTTATGTAAACAAAATCAACTTTACAGTCACTTCATTTTTCACTCCCAGAAAGTAACCATCCTGGTGTCAATAAACAATACCCAACTTACTGTAGAAAGCTTTCCTACCAGCATAAACCAACGGTAACTATATATACTATAGCATTTCAGCATGAATCAAATAATACCAATAACAGCACGTAAAGCTCTTTTTACTAACACGAACCAGCGTTAACCAGCATACTATAAATAGATAAAAAAGTTTTCAGAATGAAGAATCAAACCCATCTTATTACATAACGTTCTGTAGAAGATTACCAACTGTCCTAGTTTCACTAAAGAAATTAAACGTCTTGGTTTATTATTTCTTTTCAGTTACCCTGAGGGAAACCGAAGGGTTTTCAGAAGTTTGGAGAAATACTCGGGTTCTGTCGTTAAATATATGTTCAAATAAATCTATCTTTTTAACAAGAACCAACAATACTCATCTTACCACAACGGTCTGTCAGTGGGTCAACGGTAAATTCACGGTCTTGCAACACTAAAATCTTGGATTCGACAGCTCGCCGATAGCTCAAACATGCTAACTATTTTCAGCTGATTCAAGAATGCTCATTTACCCAAGAAAGATATATTTGTAGCATGATCAAACAACACCCAACTTACAACCGTTTTTTGTATTTTCAGTATGAATTTACCCCAACTATCTTACTAATGAAAACTGTCTTTCTAATATAATCCAAAACAGATTAACTGTCTTTCTAATATACTCCAAAACAGATTATCATGGATAAAGATTGCGGTATTTATTTTGAAATTTGTTCCATGAGAATCAATTAAAATAACCTTAAAATGTTCGTTTATTAATGTATTTTTCCATGTTTTTCAAACATATTCACCTTGTATGGATAAGGACACTTTTTGTCTTATGCTCTATGATATAGTACTAACCAGTTAGTAACTCCCTCTGAACTTCGTTGATGTACGTTATTGACTTAAATAACGCGTTCAACAATAAACGTTGTCAAGTATTTTCTTTGTTTTCAACCTCTACACCCACCATTACGTCGG